TGTTGACATACAGCTGAAAATCACATTCATATAATCATCACGATTTACTTCAAACACGGAAGATTCAATTAACAACACAGTTAGGCTACATTAAAGACGTCTCTGGACGTAACAAGCACTTCTGCTGCATAGATGCATGTGTCTCTCTTAATGAAAGTCTGCAATAGTACCAAGGTAGATTATGATAGTGATGAATGTATTTAATCTGTATGACCTCAAATGAGACACAGAGACGTTCACACGAGCGACTTTCATTGTGTAGACCAGAAAACTCTGAGATGTTCTTTAAAATATCTGCTTTTGCATTTCACAGATGAAAAAAAGTCATACAGGTTTGGATTGACATGATGGAGATTTTGGATGAACTGTCTCTTTAAGGATCATCCATCATAACCATCATCATAAAAACTGAAGTGTTTCTCTCACCTCTGAACATGATCTCACGACTGTAATGAAACTGTGATGAAAGAGAGAAGCATTACAACATCACTGATAATCTTCATGAATGTTTCATTGATTAACACAGTAAATAATCATCATTTATGTGTGTATTTAATTATATATAGAGAGAGATTGAGTTGATTTACTCCATCAGTAGAATCACAGATGATCTCATGATTCAGATTCACACACTGAGACGTGACGAGACGATCAGAAGAGACAGAAATAACAGGATCAATCAGTGTTTGAGGATCTGATGGATCTGCTAAAAGTTTATTACAACAGAGCACACACAGAAGATATATTCAATTCAGCAGGATTTTTAACTCTACTTCTAAAAGTTGAATAAAAACATGCCTAAAGTGCATTTTGTATTTTGTAAGTGCGGTGTGTTTTTTTTAATTATTAAATTTATGCACGTTTTGTACATTTAATTGTAATATATTTTCTAACAATGCAATGGTGCGGAACTGCCCAGAACCGCAAAGAAGGAAAAAGGTTGTGTTGGGCTTCTGAACTTGCTCTGCTCACAGTCAGGATTAGTAGAAGTAGTAGAAGTAGAAGAAGTAGAAGAGAGTTGGGAAGGAGGGCGGGAGGGGGCTTTGGCGAAGGTCGAGAAGCAGGTGAAAGGCTGGCAATAACAGGCAGGCTGAACTGTAGAGACTCCACAGAGGAACAGATGGTGGGAGCATTCATGAGGATGATGACGGGAAGAGTGGCCAAATGGTAGAGACCCAGAGCACTGTGAAGACAACAGCCCACAGTGGAGCCAAGGTGTAGACATTGCCAACACCCTCCACAGGACGAGCGATGGAGACAGAGCTGATGTCAGAGGATCCCAGGGCGATGACAGAAAGCCGATGGCACTGGGTGACACCACTGGCAATGGAGACATAGGCGGAGCCAAGGCGACGAGCATCCGAGGAGGAACCTGAGTGCCTAAGGACTGACTGAGGCGACGATCAGAAGAGACAGAAATAACAGGATCAATCAGTGTTTGAGGATCTGATGGATCTGCTAAAAGTTTATTACAACAGAGCACACACAGAAGATATATTCAATTCAGCAGGATTTTTAACTCTACTTCTAAAAGTTGAATAAAAACATGCCTAAAGTGCATTTTGTATTTTGTAAGTGCGGTGTGTTTTTTTTAATTATTAAATTTATGCACGTTTTGTACATTTAATTGTAATATATTTTCTAACAATGCAATGGTGCGGAACTGCCCAGAACCGCAAAGAAGGAAAAAGGTTGTGTTGGGCTTCTGAACTTGCTCTGCTCACAGTCAGGATTAGTAGAAGTAGTAGAAGTAGAAGAAGTAGAAGAGAGTTGGGAAGGAGGGCGGGAGGGGGCTTTGGCGAAGGTCGAGAAGCAGGTGAAAGGCTGGCAATAACAGGCAGGCTGAACTGTAGAGACTCCACAGAGGAACAGATGGTGGGAGCATTCATGAGGATGATGACGGGAAGAGTGGCCAAATGGTAGAGACCCAGAGCACTGTGAAGACAACAGCCCACAGTGGAGCCAAGGTGTAGACATTGCCAACACCCTCCACAGGACGAGCGATGGAGACAGAGCTGATGTCAGAGGATCCCAGGGCGATGACAGAAAGCCGATGGCACTGGGTGACACCACTGGCAATGGAGACATAGGCGGAGCCAAGGCGACGAGCATCCGAGGAGGAACCTGAGTGCCTAAGGACTGAGGCGGAGCCGGTGTGACTGAGGACCAAGCCAGGGGAAGGAGGAGCCCGCTGATGTCGTAGGGGTGGAGAGACGGAGCACAGCGCAAGGGTCGGATGTCCTTGGCACAGGCAGGGTGACAACTGACCAAAGTGAAGCTGGAGGAAACCCGGTGGAGCCATAAGGCGGAGTGTCTCTGGTGGAGCGGAGGGTGGGAGGAGCCACTGTGAAAGCAGATCCATTCGCCCACAATACGAAGTTGATGGCATGATGGCAGAGGTCAAGGAAGTCCTCCACGTTTACCTGCAGGTCTCTGCCATACTGGAACAAAAACACTGTCGCTCCTTGCAACAGTTTGTTTCCACACAATAGGGGAACATTAATGGAAGAGGTTTCCAGTCTTGGATTTTGTTCCATTTTTTTGTCACGCATAGTTGTAGAGGCAGATGATGATGAAGAAGATTTGGTTAAAATTCTTCAATAACACACTCAAGAATCTAACAAACATAGGCTGAATGTTTCAACTGATGAATTAAGGAGAATGGACAATAAAAGTCTGTGACAATATTGTAATTAACAGACATGTGTTGCATCATCAATTAATATGGACTATTAAAACATTTTAAAATTTGAATGTAACAATCAGATGAGTCAAGGATAGAAAATGACCATGTATTAATATTAAGATTTCTGTAAAAACCATTCATGGATATTAAAGGTGCCTGTCTTGCTCTGTTGATCGCTATATTTAAAATTATATTTAAAACATTCAGTACAGTATGGAAAATATCCACATAAACTGTATGCAAATATCCATAATATCACTGGAATGAAGATAAATCTTGCTGTAATCGGTTATTTGTAGAGTATTTTATTCTGATATTGTATTCAGCGCTATTTCCTCTGGGTGCTGCGAGTCCTTCCTCCCTGCAAAATAATTAAATACAAAAGCTTTACTGAGCTCTCATGAGTGCAGATTGTAACAGATCAATGTGAATCATCTGAAAAACTCACCAGCTCTTCTTGCACAGATGATCTGAAGAAGAATCACAGTAGGAGCAGCAAACACTGCAGTCTTAAGAATGATCAAAATCTCTGCAGGACAGATGAGAGACACAATCAAGAGAAAACAAAGAGACTCTATCTGTGAAACTGGGAATGAAATCAAAGATATGAAACAATAAACAATGTAAAGAGGTGTAGTACCTCTGAATAATGATCCAGCAGTCCTACTGACTTCAGGTTCTGCTGGATCTGTGATCATCAATCTTAGTTCAGTTCAAACATAATGAACTTATAAACCAAATATCATCACATCACATCACAGAAATGATAAATATGTACTAGACACTGTGTGAATTTCCACTGCTTCATGAGTCTGTCATCTATTATCGGTTCCTCCTGTGTTTTCTATAAACTGTCTAACCATAACCATAACCACTAACATGCAGAAACACAGGGGAACAGACTCTGACACGACAGCGGTTGTGAAGCATGTTCTTCAGTGTGAGATCTGCATATTGTCAACCACACTGACTCAAACCACATCTGCTCTAAACACAATATACAGGCTATTCTTCACATTACTGTTAGTTGCACTTCTTTCTTTCAGTCTGCATGTCATTAAATAGAAATAAAATCATTAAATTATCAGTGATCAAATTCGTTAGTTAAAAGGTTTCCATTATCCAAGACTCACTTGTAGAGAATGAACTCTAAAACAGTTTTTAAAGTATTTTAAAATTATTAGCATGATAGTCTCTGAAGAAGCGAGTGTTTCTGCTCATGGATCATAACGTGCTGCTTTTCTCTCTCCAGCGCTGAGAAAACACATCAGATCCAGAGTCCTGTATTAACACTATAACTATAACTATACACTATAAACTCCAGCACATTCTCCCTTCGGCCGGTGGATTTCACAGCAGCACGAGTCTCTCTGACGGCTGATGATTCAGGATTTGTCGTCTTTACAAGACGGCTACTTTGAATTTGTTGTTAAAGTCGGTAACATTTTTGGTTGTATTGAAATTTCCAAAAATAATAACTTTGAAGTTTTACTATTGTAACAAATCTGTTTTTTTGATAGATTCCTTGAGTCAAACTGAGTCGGTTATTGTTTGAAACATCAACAAATTTGATGGCAAAATGCCAAATCAATTTCATCCCTGCAATGATTTTGCAAACTTTTGGCCCGTTGCAATATCCATATTTCCACAATAACTAAACACAGTTACAAAGAGACAATTGAACAAGGCGTGAAAACAAAGAAACATGAATACAAAACAAGCCGATGCACAAGCTGTAAATCATGCTGCTGCGTCAACAGACACAAATCAGCATTAATCAAACATGTGCTGATCAGTGATGTCTTTAAGAGTCCATAATAACAATAAAGCGTTTCCAATAAAGCATTGTCACTGGATCTGGTAAGTATAATCAAGTCAAGAGCTCAGTCACATATACTGTCAAGAGTTCAGGAGAGAAAACATCTCATCAATCAGTTATGAAAGAGACTGTTAGCTGTGATAGATAATGCTAGTGTTATCTTGTGTGTTAACTAATTAAACTATGATGGTAATAGTCTGCAGTATGATGCATCTGTACTAACATTCATCCTTTACAGATCAAGCTGATTCAGTGACAGCAGTAACTTCTACTCAAGGCACAGTCAAAAACTGAACTTTCACTGCTGTGAGTTTTACTGAATCCTCTCTTGTCTGTGTTACTTAAATAATTTATACTGTAAAATCACTTGGACTTAAATTGAAAGAGTTGTTTCAATAAAATAAAGTGTCTCGTCAGCTTTACTGAAGTTGTTCTGTCAAAGTAACACGAGTAAAACTCATAAATGAATAAATTCGATGCAGGCCGTCTCTTTATGCACAAAATATTGATATGAGCTGCTGAAGGCCAAGAACAACATGCAAGACAGAAATGCTGGGGATTATGAGTCTGAATGGAAGATTATGGAAGATGATTTTTACTGCTTGTTCAATTTATTTAATTAAAATGAGCTAGAGAAAGAATTGTTGAATATTTTATCAGTAAAAACTATTAGTTTTTAGTTAGTCATTTTTGCTGCATTCACTGAAGCTGCATGGGTAGATGTTTAGTTCCCAGCATGCTTTGCACAGGACTGAGCTGGGAGAGTAAATGTTGGAATTAAGTGTTATTTCATGCATGTTTGAGTAAAGGGATGTTCAGTTATTTTGAGCTTTTCTAAGAGTTGAAGTGTTTTGTGGTAACCATCGTGCTGAAGAGAGCTTGTGGTTTGGTTGCAGGATGATGGCTATGGTGTCCAATCATAGACAACATTCAGACGCACAACAGCCGCCCACAACCTGAGCTCAAACGTCACTCTTCAGCACAACGGAAAAACACAGACATCAGTTCACTGGATCTGCTCAAAATAACCGAGCTATATGACTAAAACATATGGTGTGACTGTCCGGAGTCCGGACTATGTATGACCTTACTAATATGACAATATATCTCAGCAAAGTATAAATAATTGATAGATTTACCGTTTAAGTAACAGAATTAGGCATTTTTAATGGACACAGAAAGTGTTGATGTCTGTGCATGATTTTAAAGCAAGTTCTGGCTAAATACATTTTGTCCGTAAAATGGGCGTCATGTGGTGTGACATTACAATCTGTATTTTGAACGGGCAATAATGTGGACATCATTATGATGAAGAGGTCCACACTCAACCATGAAGCTGCAGTGTCCTCTCTGGAGTGGTTTGGAAGGTGAAGAGATGAGTTCTGCCTTTTATTTTTTAATTAAAAAGCTCTGTCACTGATGTGCTCATTAGTGGTCAATATGGGGATGGTTAGGAGGCCGTGATGGTCAGAGGCCAATGGGTGAATTTGGCCAGGATGCCGAGGTCACACCTCTACTCTTTTCGAAAGACATCCTGGGATTTTTAATGACCACAGAGGGTCAGGACCTCGGGTTAACGTCTCATCCGAAGGACTAAACATATTAACACATATAAATAGTGACTAAACACAACCCCTTTTAATACATGTTAACCAGGAGTCACTCTCATTTATAATCGCGGCTTCGTCTGATAAAATCAACATGTATCTACACTAAAGAGCAGCTATGCAGTTGTTCTGGCTAGATTACTTTTTTGTCTCATGCAGAGCACTGCCTGCGTCTGAGTAACAAACTAAAAACA